GAACACCATGATGAAAAAATCAAGATATGGCTGGAACACACTATTCATCAAGTGCTTAAATGTTGTTGGGGCGTTGGTCTGCCCAAATGACATCACCAGAAACTCATAGTGACCATACCGAGTCCTAAAAGCAGTCTTTGGAATATTTGAATCCGAATCTTCAACTTGGTCAAAATTCGAGGTTCGGACCAAAACCCGACTACCCGTTCATCCCGAGACTGGTTATGTGATTTATCTCGAAATCCGACCTCAATTTGAGGTCTAAATCTCAATTTTACAAAATGCCTAATTTCTACCTAAAATTCCTAATTTCTACTACGGAATTCAAATATTTGATGTTAAAAACTCATGAAATGTAATGGGGAATTGATAGAAAATGGATTAGAGTTGCGTACCAATGAACTAAAAGAAGCAAGGTGAAGAAGGGTACGAGGCGCCCAATTAATGAAGATTATCGGTATTACAGTTCGGCAGAAAAATATAAGCATTAACAGTTACCCTCAACAATAATAGAGGTATGTACAATTGACCGTACGCATCTTAGTTATGCCATATGGGGGCTAACAGGTGTAATTTAAGAAAAAGACGGAACATCAGGACCCGGTTGGGGTTAGAGTGAACCAAAATGGTGAATGGATTGTTTGTGTTAGTTGACATTTCTGAAGGATATTGCAAGTGTGCTAGTAGACCTCCTCGTGAGACACCTAGATGGTGCACCCTCAAATATTAAAGCTAGATATGAGCACTGGAAGCCTTGAAGGAATAAATATTACCTTAGTGTGGCTCCCGCCCCCAGTAAAGAAAGAATGTTAGGCAATTGAAAGAGCCAAGGGATGGAGCAAGGGGAGCCAAAAGCAAAAGAATATTTTGTTCGAGTTTTCAGAGTAAAGCAGTAGACATAGATAATTAGCGAGAGATAACAAGAGAGTTAATGAAGCATTATGAATAAGATATGATACCCGAATGATAACGGTAGGTAAAAAAATGATGACAATATTACAGAGTTTACAGTCAAGTGAAGGAAAAGACAAAAGATGACAGGCCTTGAGACAACAAAAGAATATAGGCCATGAAGTCATATCCTCATTTCGAGAAATAAGTTCGCAACTCTAGAGCGATTCCCAAGAGGAAAAGTTAGACCCTAGAGTAATAGAAATTAATATGGACTGGTGAACAAGATATTCTAAATATGAATTAAGGGCTGAGTGATTTGATAATAGTCAGCATCATGAGAAATTCAGATCGCGTTCCGGCAATAATAGGACGGACAACAGAAGAAGATTCATGAGAAATTCAGAGAATGGTCATTCAGGAAGACGCTTCCCTAAAGCCAGCAATGTTAAGCTTAAGGGACTGTATGTACTAGTTACATTAAGTGTCACCCTCACGAGTAAGGGAATTTGTCATCCTTGGTACACAAGGTTTGCCGCAAGGCGAGTAAGGATCATTGATGTTGAGAAATGACGCCAAAGATGAAGAGGTAAAACATATATAGGTAGATTCTCGTGGCTTCAACTCTTAGTACACCCCTAAAGGGGGGAATATGGAGTGATGTGGCATTAAGTCAGAATTAAGTGGTTCTAGTGACTATGGAATGGTAAAGGAAGAAGGTGATAAATGAAAGCGGAATGAGATGGCATTTATCCAAATCTTACAGATACGTTACGATTCAAGAATATTGTGCAAGCACGACGTCAAGGAGAGGAAGTAAAGGTTCATTCCCAAGCTGTTATTAATAAATAAGGAGCCAGTGCGAGACGTAAGTTAAGACAAAGGAAATAACCCAAGAAAGATTACGAGGAATATTGATATGAGAATGGGCCAACGAGTAGTTAGAAATTGGTCAGGAAGATCCCAGTTATGGTTAAACAGGAGGTTACAGACAAGTCATCAGATCTTGTGAGATAAACATAGTAGAAACCAACATGGAGAATTCAGGCTCGAAGAATATCATTATAATACTTGAGATATATTCAAACAAGAGTCGGGGTAGTTAAAGGTACCGTATGAGTGTTACGGGGATAAAAGAAAGTGCCACTGGGAAGGCAGTCAAAATATCAATTCAGAAGCAACCATACAAGCACAAGGGCATGGAAGTAAGCAACTACGGATGATTATAGGCAAGTAAGGACATCAAAAAGTTATGTAATAAGCTCATAGCTTTACGAGAGTCAAGGGTTCTCCCTAAGTACTACAACGAAAGACTAGCTGAGGAGATAAGAAAGAAGGCTTCAACCTAAGCACAACGACCTAAAGAGGAAATGGTCGTGTAACAACAATCTCGCAACAACATTGTAAGCATTCCAAAGGAAAGTGGCACCTACCGTGACTAATGAATGGGAAGTAAGAATTAAAAGAACATATGAGTTGTATGAAAACTATGGCAAGGTTGGGAACTAAGGTAAGCTAAGTATGGACGCAACAAGGGGGCAGAAAGACCAGGAAAAGTAATAGCTTACGTTGAAGGAAAGATAAGATGGAACAAAAGAATTATTCAATCAATGATCCATAGTTAGTACGTTATGGGTACACTCAAGATTTTGGAGCATTATCCAGGAAGCATATTTGTTAACAATCATACAGCCATAGAAGACTCCGATATAAGTTAAAAGAAAGAACTGAGCCCAGGGCATAGACAAAGGATTGAATTGTTAGAAGATTGTGTCATGGATATTCCATAACGCCTATGAAAGGCTAAAGTAATAACTAATACCAGGAGCCGCAAGTCGGAAGATATTTTAAGCCTACATAGAGGCTGATCAGAAAGAAGAGGAGACTAGAGAGTTACATCGACTAAGCAAAACAGGAGGGACCAAGAGAATTATAGACCTCAAGATCACTCTTAAGTAGCAGAGGTATAAGAAAGATAGTACAATAGCCATATTTTATAATAGCTCTATAATGAAGCCAACTGAAGAGTACCAGCATCATAAGAAGTCAGTACGAAGCTCCCACCGGATTGTGTATGCACCAGAGGTGTAAGCATTATAACAGAGCTTCAAGTTATGGACGTGAATTATACCTATGTGGAAGGGAGGTCATGAAAGAGATAGAAGATACGATGCGAGATTTTAAGGTAAGTAAGGTAAAGGGTGAACAGCTTACGAGATACTCAAAGACAGAATATGTGAATAGTCCATACTTCGGATAGAAGGCTAGAAGTGTTGGGATTCAATATCCAGGAATGATAGCGGCATAGTCAGTGGAATATCTCATAGCCTATGGTTTCTAGGTATCGAGGAGGCAAATTAAGACAGTAAAGAAGAGTTAGAGAGGATGTGATATCTCGCTTGATGTCCAGAATGACATAAGGAAATCTATGATGCAAGCAAGTTGAAAGGTTGCAAGTAATATAAATAGTTGTTGTGTAGGTCGCAAGCCATTGTATGGTGAAGCGACAAAGTTCTAGAAGAAAAGAGTAAGGATAAGAAAGGGCAAGTGAGAAGGTAACGAAAATGGATAAGTCCTCAGGATTAAGCCCATGTAAACAAGAAAAGCAGATTGTTTCTCTAAATTATACAAAGTACACTATAGCCTGAATGAACTCAAAGGAGTCTATGAATAATAGCATTTAGAATGCCACCCTGGTAATAGAACGAGGGTTAATTGTGATAGATAAAAGATGACGTTTGGGCCTTCGATTGAGTAATGATTCAACGAAGTAAAGAAACAGATCTCATGAATTGGACAGGGTTAAAGTACCCACGCAAGGTGAATCGCATTGGGATGCCGTGAGATACGGTTATGAAAGCAGGGTATCGCCCCAAGTGGATCAATCTAATTATTTCAGATGTTCCCCGATAAAACATGAATCCTAGTAGTAATATTACATAAAAGGTTAAGTTATCAAGGGTAGATTATGGATCGAAATTGAGGTGAATCAACAATGGATGGACAAAGGTCACAAAGTATGAGATGAGATTAGGCCGTCATTCTAAAGATGAGCAGTGATGAGGAAGCATTAAAGGACTTAAATTTATACATATGGAATAAGCAACAAGAGTAAGCTGCGGAATAAGGAGGTAGCCTCCGTGAAAGTACTTTGGAGAAATAACAATGTGGAAGAAATGACTTTGGGAGACCGAAGAAAACATGAAGTCTAGAGATCCCTACTTATTTCCTCCTCCAGAAAAGGGTCCGACTGAGACGTCATAATCATAAGGTACGAGTATAAATTCTTGTGTTGGTTATTATCGTTGGTCATGTGAGGCCATTGTCGTTATTCATAATCATGGTCCTATGTGTCATTGGATTATTAAGCTTCTACGGGGAGAGTTGGTAGTGGTGTTGTTACAGAGGCGACCTTGCCAAAGTTATATAGATCGCGGGAGTTGAACATTCAAGGAAGAATGTTTATAAGGGGGGAAGGATGTTACATCTCGCATTTTCGCACGTTAAGAATTTCGTTTTCAGTTAACCGACGTAGACTCGGGGATGAGATCATCTTGACGTTAACGTACTTACGCTATTTATAACAAGCGATAAATAAGTGTTATAAAAGATAAAGGGGTACATGGGTTAACAAAAACGAGTTCCATTGGAAGTGGCCAATTTGGAATAAAATACGGGTCAAGCGATAATACTCGATAATTATGAACTAGTACCATGCAAGGTACCATATGAGCATGGTAGTATAATATATAAAGTATATATGAAGTATTTTGAAAATAAATAGAATCTTAAATAATTTGTGATAATTTTTAAATTATGCGGGTAATTAATTAATTACCGGGTAATAGGACATTACCCCGTTAACTAATAAGTGTATAAAAAATTAATAAAATAAAACTCCCACCCCGCGTGGCAAGAAGCCACGAAATTGAGAGTGACTAAGTAGTCACTTTTGGCCAGATGGCTAATTAGGAAATGACTAAGAGTTGAGTCTTAGCAAATAGGACTAGTGGCCATTATTAGACTTTGCAATTTAAAGAACAGAACATTGTTCTTGCTCTTGGAAAATTCAATTCCAATGACCATTAGGAACAGAATACAACAATTGCAAATTCCAAACTTTGCATTTAAAGTCTTATCTCTTTTCAACAATAAGAACAAATAACGCTGGGAGCTAACTACACCAAGACGTGAGAAAAGCAGAACGATTTTTCGTTCAACAATTCAAGCTTCATCCAAACGTTCAAGCTTCATCCCAATCAGATCAATTCTTTCCAAATATTTGTGTCTTTGGTTTTTAAACCTAGCAATAGAATAGTAAAATATCACATTTGACGTCTTAAAAATTTCCCAGAATTCGTGATAAAAGGAAGGACAGAGTTTAGCCTTAACATACCTGTTCCTGGAATTATTTGATCGAAGTGAAGCTTCTGCTTCCGTGAAATATGTTGGAGCGAGAAAATGAAGCTTCAGCTTCTGAATTTGAACGAAACCTTGCTTTGAAATAATTCTGCATCTTCACGTTTTTGAACTGATGAATGGATTTAAATATAAAACTTTGCTCCAATGTTTCTTGGTTTGAAATATAAAGAAGAAAACGTTTTTGATTTTTTTTTATGTCTTGGAAAGAGACCTTTTTGAATTCTTTTGGTTCTCACGTTTTGGTTCAAAGTCAGGATGTAAAAGTAAATTATTGTTGCTCTTGAAATTTCAATCAAAGTTCTTTTGGCTAGGGGTGTTGACGAAAAGGATCTTTGCCCCACGTTCTTGGTTTTGAAAATAAAAACAATGAAAATCAATGTTAAAGATGACTCAAGGCAGATTGGATAACCTTAAGTCTTTCTAAGTCTTTAGCTTTCTAACACCTAGATATATGACTACTTAGTCACTTTCTAGGTGTGTGGCTTCTTGCCACGTGGGGTGGGGGTGGGATGTTAATTTCTATCCACTTGTTAGTTAATCGGGTAATGTTTCGTCACCCGGTAATTAATTCATTACCCGCATAATTTAAAAATTATCACAAATTATTTAAAATTCTATTTATTTTTAAAATACTTCATATATACTTTATTTATTATACTACCGTGCTCATATGGTACCTTGCATGGTACTAGTTCATAATTATCGAGTATTATCGCTCGACCCGTATTTTATTCCAAATTGGCCACTTCCAACGAAACTCGTTTTTCTTTAATCCGTGTAACCTCTTATTCTTCATAACACTTATTTATTGCTTGCTATAAATAGAGTAAGTACGTTAACGTCAAGATGATCTCGTTCCCGGGTCTACATCGGTTAATTGAAAACGAAATTTTAACGTATGAAAACGCGAGATGTAACATCCTTCCCCCTTAGAAATATTCGTCCTCGAATGTTTAACTCTCTGGGATTTATATAATCTTGGTAGAGTCGCCTTTGTAACAATGCTAATACCTACTCTCCCTGTAGAAGCTTAATAATCCAACGCCACACCGGACCACAACCGACAATGGCCTCACACGGCCAACGACAATGGCCAATAAAAGAATTTGTACACATACCTTATGATTATGACGTCTCAGTCGGACCCTTCTTTGGAGGAGGGAATAGGTAGGGATATCTAGACTTCATATTTTCCTCGGCCTCCCAAGTCATTTTTTTCCACATTATTGTTCCTCCATAGTACTTTCATGGAGGCTACCTCCTTATTCCGTAGCTTGCGGATTTGTCGGTCTAGGATGGCAATCGGAACTTCCTCGTATGATAAGTTCTCTGTAATATGTACATCATCCGTGGGCACTACTCGGGTAGGATCGCAAATGCACTTCCGTATGAATTTACTCCCATAACTCTTACTTTAATTTATCATTGCTGAGGTCTGCTGCCAAATCCCAGCTTACTTTCGTTGCTTATTCATATGTATAAATTTAAGTCCTTTAATGCTTCCTCATTACTGCTCATCTTTAGAATGACGGCCTAATCTCATCTCATACTATGTGACTTTTGTCCATCCATTGTTGATTTACCTCAATATTAATTTACAATATACCACTGATAACTTGGAACTTCTTACGTAATACTTTGCCCTTGGGGCTTACATTACCTCAAGATTCCCATAATCGTATTTCATAGTGTCTCAATGTGATTCACCTTATGGGGGTATTCTAATTTCGTGCCGCCAGCGAAATCTTTTTCCCTTCTCTTTTTTTTTTCCAAATCATTATTCAAACGAAGGCCCAAACGTCATCCTTTATCTGTCACAATTATACCCTCATTTTATTACCAGGTCAGCATTTCATTCCTTCTAAATGCTATTAATCTTAGACTCATTTTAGTTCATTAAGGCTATAGTGAGCTTTGTATAACATAGAGAAACTATCTGCGCTTCTTGTTTTCATGGGCTTAATCTTAAAGACTTATCTATTCTCGTCATCTTTTCACTTGCCTTTCCTCATCCTTACTCATTTTCCCTTAAAACTTTGTCGTTCTACCATACTTTAGCTTGCGACCTATACATATCCATTTATAAACTTTTCTTCAACTTGCTTGCACCATAGATTTCCTTATGTTGTTATGGAACGTCAAGCAAGACATTACATCGTCTCCAACTTTTCTCTACTCTCTTAAGTAGATCTCGCAGTATTTAGAAACCATATGCTGGAAGACATGTCGCGACGATGCCGCTATCACTCCTGGTTATTGGATCCGCGTGCTTATAGCTTTCTATCCAAAGTATGGATTATTCACGATCTTCTGCCTTTGAGTATCTCGTACGCTGTTCACATTTGCCTTACTTACTTTAAAATTTCGCATCGTGTCTTCTATCTCTTTCCTGACCTTCCCTCCACATAGGTATAATTCACGTCCATAACTTGAAGCTCTGTTATAATACTTGTACCGTTGGTGCATACACAATCCGGGGGAAGATTCGTACTGACTTCTTATGAGGCTGGTACTTCTTCTAACTGGCTTTCTTGTAGAGCCACTATACTTTATGGTCATTGTGTTATTTCTCTTAATCATCTGATATTAAGAGTGATTCTGTCATGTTCTCACGCACACCTTCTACAATTTTTCTAAGTCTAATAATCAGACTCCTCGTTTTCTTGGGTGTTGTAATTCTTTTAGCTTCCTCTTCCTTCCGATCAGCCTTTATGTAGGCTTAAGCTATCTTCCGATATGTGGCTCATGGTCAGTTACTACCTTAGCCTTTCATGGGCGTTATGGAATATCCATGATACAATCTTCTAACAATTCAATCCTTTGTCTATGTCCTGGGCTAAATTCTTCTTTTTAACTTATACCAGAGTCTTTTATGGTTGTATGATTGTCAATAAATATAATGCTCCAAAATCTTGAGTGTATCCATAACGTACTAACTCTGGATCATTCATCAAATAATTCCTTTCGTTCCATCTCAGCTTTCTTTAAACGTGTGCAATTACTTTTCCTGGTCTTTCTGCCCCTTGTTGCGTGCATACTTAGCTCATCCTAGTTCCCACACATGCCAGAATTTTTGTGCAACTCATATAGTCTCGAATATTACCTTCGGTCTTTCTCCCCGTTCATTAGCCACGGTAGGTGCCACTTTCTTTTGGAGGGTATAAAATTTTTTAGCTGAAGTATTTTCATGATGCTATTAGGTTGATATTCCACTCGTTCGGTTAAATAGGGTATTCGACATCTATATATGTTATTTGTTCGGCTTTCTTAACTATATGTCTATATATGTGAATTCTTATTCGTCTTTGGGTTGTGTGACTAGAAAATAAAGGCATTTAGTATTTGCGATCAGTCCTTCTCCCTTGTTAAAGTGTATCTTAAAATCTCTAAAGTGGCACGTCGATTTCCAAAAATCTCAAATATAATTTTTATGTTTAAACTACTAAAACACTTGATTTTTGAAATACTTTCTTTTACTATAAATCAAGAAATCAGGTATAAGGACTAAGTGAAGCACCTTAAGCTTTTTATGAACATCTTCAGAGTTAAGTTATCTTTCTAAAAGTCGAGTTAAGTTTTCAAGCTTAGTCAAAAGAAAAAGAAAAACATATGAGGTTCCACGAGACAATTGTATGCGATACGAAGATGATTATGAGATTATGAGAATAAGAGTACCTATGAGCCAAGATTGGCTAAGTTCTTGTTATGGCCTATTATGTGCATTCAAGATTCATATCATACATGGCATATTATGCATGGACTTCAAGCTATAATCGGAGGTAAGGGGCCTATTTGCCCGAAAAACTATATATATTGTACAGATGGCCACAGGTTGGCAATATGATACCGGTTAGCTACCGGAAGAGACCGCCATTGCTAGCATTTGGTTGGGTATGTCATGCATTTGCATCAATATATATGTATTCACGACATACGATTACACGAGCATACCATGCATATTTGATTACTATGAGGTCGGATGTCGGCCATAGAGGCTATCTGAGTTTCAGTGTCAGGTGGTATCACTATTATTTTTTTTTCATCAGCTACGTATGATTCTACTTTCTGCCTTACATACCAGTACATTTTTATTTGTACTGATGTCCCGTTGCCTGGGGACACTGCATTTTGTTTCGTGCGTGCAGGTCCAGGTAGGGACTCTGATCGACCCCTCCGTTAGGATTTCGGGGTTCAGATGTGAGTTGGTAAGCTCCACCTCTTCCTGGAGCTTTCATAGGATGGTTACTTTTGTTGTACAGTTTGGGTATAGTCGGGGCCTTGTCTCGACAGTGCTTATGACACTCTTAGAGGCTATTGTGGACACAGTATTCTGGGTTCTTTTTGCAGCTTCCAGTCTCCAGCCCATAGGCTTGGCATGTATATATATTTGTGTAGGCATGTATGTCTCCAGTCGCGGCCTCGTCGGCCAGCTAGTACTTTATTATTTTGGCCCATCTACCTTTGTTTATATTGCTTATTGTTATTCAGGTCATGACCTTAACGGTCCAAGCTTAGTATTTCAGATGTTGTGCTGCCCGATCTGTTGGGCCCCCAGTTTAGTTAGCTAGTATGTTTAGTGGCTAACTCGATCAAATACAGTATCGAGTTCCAGTCGTGCCTCCCCTAGTTTGGGGCGTGACAATAATGTTTGCAAATGCAAAATACCAGCCCACCAACCCCTTATTGCAAATGCGATCATTGAACTACAAAAGCGAGCTCACAAATGCGAGATCTACAGACCTAAGACACGAACAATTTTGCACCATCAATCCTTAAACCAACTAACCTCATCTGATACACACCAGAAACTCACCCGAGCCCTCGGGCTCCAAATCGAACATGCACACAAGTGTAATAACACTATACAAACTTGCTCGCTACCTCAAATCATCAAAATAACATCAAATAACAAGAAACTCAAGAATTTTCAATTTAAACTCAATTTTCACAATTTCACAGATAATGCGCCAAAACAATTTCGGGTCACCCCGGACCCCCACCAAATATGAATACAAGTCCAAAAATATCATATGAACTTACTAGGATCGCTAAATACCGATCCGTGGTCGTTTACCCAAAATACTGACTGTGCTCAACTCTAGCCTCATTCTTAGTCAAAATTTTCATTTTCTTCAAAATTTCCTTTAAAAGCTTTTTAAAAAGCGAAACGGACCACACACGCGAAATCAAGAAACATCAAATGGAGCTAATATTGATCTTAGAGCACGAAAATAGAGGCTAGCACTCAAAACGACCTATTAGGTTGTCACATTCTCTGCCTCTAAAATAAACTTCCGTCCTCGAACGGACATAGAAAAGTACTTGGACTG